GATTGTAACCAGGATACGTTGCTCCTCATTTACGCTGAAATCACCACCGTCAGCGTCACCTCAGCCTTCTCGTCGCCTAAAGACCCAAATGGCAATCTGAATATACGCGGATTTTCAATATAAGTTATTTAAATTGCACGAGAATTCTTGTGTGCAGCGATGTACGTACAGTTTGTTTGCTTTCGGGTCTTCGTACGTGGCTTCCTGCGGAGGGTCCAGCTCTTCAGCTAACCGCTTCGCTTCAGCGATAGGAGTGCGGATCCAGGCGAACAACAGCACAGCACCAGTTGCTACGGCCACGGAGACGATAACGAGAGCCGCATCAAGCGCCAAGGAGGTCAGAACCATGGTCCGGATGCTCAGTGCCGTGGTCGAACACGTGTGCAAGTTGACACAGGTGTTTTACAAGCTTGTTTTAGTGGAAATGTGATTTAGTCTGTGATTTGGTCAAAATTGTGTATTTGAGTTATACGAGCGAGGAACCGTCGTCTGTGTGAGATGTCAGCGGTTTGGCAACACTCTTGTGGACCCACTGGTTGCTGTCGCCATTGGAGAGGAAAACCCACCAGTTTTTCAGTACGCCGCGGTCGAATGGAGAGCGCTTGTCCGGCAGGTTCTGTAAGTAAGTGATTGACGAGCGGCGAGCATGTTCCCATGAGGTCTGCAAGTATACACGGAGACATCAATTTTACAAAGTGTTTTGAGTAAAATGACAGGTACACACCTGGTTCGTCGAGATGAGATACGCCTGGTAGCAAAAGAGCGGAACGACGATAAGTAGCACGCACATGAGCAGGAACCACAGCACAATGTACAGCGCGTTGGTCTTGAACCAGTCGTTGACATCGTCTTGTTCCGTAAATGCCTGCGATGTCACGTCGATCATCACCGCACCTTCCAGAATCTGCAACACCAAGTACAGCACGAACAACCGACGGTTGTTCTCACCCACGCAAGTCCCCACGCAATCGCAACTACACGCAGCAAAATTAATCGTCATCAAGAGCCACAAAAGAACCTAACTGCACGTACTGATGATCGTACTGCCGCGTACACCGAGCGCAATCCTTACTAAAAGCACAAACAGATATGTCGCGTGAGAACTGTTGCATTCTCCTCAGTACACCAATAGTCGTACCAGTGTTTTGTCCTCAGGGGTTGGAACACGTGACATTCGTTACAGAAGTGCAGATCAGCGCTGTTCCTCGGATGCTCGTTCTCCTCTCCATCGCCTAGCAATTCTGTATCGTCACCGTCTTCCGTTGTAATCCGCGGAGAGCTACCAAGTTCTGTGGGTGTTGTAGTTTGAACCGGTGCCAGCATTGACCTCTTGTCGAGTTGTCCGGGCGACGAGCATTGCAGTACCACGTAGCACAGAATGGCTGCCACCGCTACGACCAAGTACACCACGAACTGAGCTGTAGGCAGCGCCTGCGGACTCAAATCACCCTTGACGCCTAGCACCACGTAGCCGTACACATGCACGCCCACCCACCACGCTCTAGCGTACCATTTACGCAGCTTCGCGGCTCGCGTAGGGTTCTCGGCATTCCTATTCCGTACCATGGTCGCAATTTTCAGTTGTGACAATGTCGAGGTTTACCGAAAGCAAGTTATATTTTGTAGCCATGTTAAAAGAATCCTGCAACTGCCGTTTACTGCCGTAGTTCTTGACTTGAGGGTGGGCCTTACATCATCCCCATCATCTCGGTGACTTGCTCTACGACGACGTCCACCACAGGCGCATCCTTTCTGTAGGAGCAAGAAGAAAATGAGAGCCAAACACTAACGATGTGTAGCCATGTTGACTGTAACGCACCCTTTCGTGGCCAAGTCGGCTCCTTCGACTGGAGGTAGCACTGGAGATCCCATGGAAGGAGGTGCGACGTGCTCTGGCGACGCAGCAATAGCCTGCTTCAGAGCGTGAGAACCTTCAACGGGAGCAGGTGGAGGTACTGGTGGCGCTTGGGCAGGGGCTGACGGAGCTGGAGCTGCACTCGTGGGAGCGACTGGTACAACTTGAGATGTCATCGGTGCAGGTGCAGTTGCAATTGCAGCAGGAATCGACGATGCAACGGAAGTGTCGGACGTAGTGGTCTGCATCACCTTGGTTGCTTCCTTCTGGGATGTGTTAAACGTAAACGACTGCATGCCGCCAGAGGCCGACGCAGAGCTGTCGGTGTACTTCACAAAACCAGAGTCCCGCGCAACCGGATTCACACATGCGCCCAACGACGCAGTGGCGCCAGGGACTTGCGGTTCGATGTCAATCACCCACGGCGCAACTTCTTCCTCTTGCTCTGAAATTAACAACCATTAGCTGACTGCAGGGATAGAATTTGGACCGACGCAAAACTCACGGAGAATGCGCCAGTTGGCACCTGTCTTGTTGGGGTCATTGAAGTCGTAGAGCTGCGACCAGTGGTTATTTGCTGGTTCCAACCGCGCGTCCGTAAAGTTCTGCAACCCATGTACAATGATCATATGAGTATCAACTTCGCAGAAACGCTGCAGACTAAGCCACACACCCGCTCAATGCCGCAGTAAGCACCGTTGAATGGAGCGAATGTCATCTGCTGCGACGTCTCGATGATCGGGTCTGTCAGCGAGTATAGGTAGATTGAGCAGCCCGAGCAGTCTCGTGTTCGAAGCTGCTTGCTGGTAACGACGCAGAAGCAAAATGCACAGACTGTGAGATAGCACTTGGATACCAGAAAGCGCGTGCAGCTCTTACCACGCGATAGTAAAGACGCAATTACTGCAGTTTCGAACGAAAACGGACTCCGAACTTGGACCTACCACATTATTTGCAGCTCGTGAGTATGGTCTCATCGTAAAGCCATGTACTTTGCAAGGAACAAGCACTTACCGACGAAAACTCGGCAATTTGCCAGGTTGTCGATCTGCACCTGGTTAATGTGGTCCAGCAGCATGACCGTGCATCCCTCCAGGTCCGAGACGTCAAAAGGTTGTCTACCATATAGCAGCATCGTTATCATCATTGCAAAACCATTGGGTCTTTATTAAATTCAGCGACATACCCTTCGATCTGCCCAGGCAGCTTCATGAGCGTCTCGTCCTTCTTGTTACGGAACGTGTAGGTCAACTCGAACTCGTAGAGCCGCCATGCCGCTCGATCCTCGAACTGCTTGCCATCAGATGCGGTGAAGATCATCCTCCTATTTTTGCCTTTCCCGCTTGGCTGTCGATGCTCCAGAGACCAATTGATAAGTGCGTGTCCGTTATTACTCAACGTCGCATCATGATCGCATCGTGTGCACCACCCAAAACCACTGTGGCTCACATCTGGTTTAGTTTATTCAAAGGCGCAACATGGCGCGGCACGGCCACTTACAGTCGTCGCTGTTACGTGCGCTCCTTCTTCTTTTCCTGTCACTTTTCGCGTATGCAACCTATGTAACCAGCTACACCGACATACTCGCTAAAGCTTCAGCGAGCTCTAGCTCCGAAGACCCCGTAGAAGTCTCAGAATCCGCTGCTGTCGATCCCGTCTGCATCTCCGACAACGGCGAGTTTTCGTGTCCTGCACCGCCCCCTGCGCCTGCTCCTGCGGCGCCTTTAGACCCACATGACCGCCACATCGTTTTCGTGTCTATCGCTATCAAAGGACATGCACAACCGCTGCTCCGAGTGGCCAGCGAGATGAAAGAACGAGGATATCGAGTATCCTTCGCCACTCACGACTCGGGGCGGGAGTGGGCACACGCCTACGGTGTCCCCTTCCTATCAGCCGGAGCCTTTCCCATATCCGCTGAAGATCTGCGCGTCAAGCTCCGAGCTATGACGCGGGACGCCTCGAATTTCCGAGGAATTCTAACCATGTTTAACGATATTTACGTCCGAGCAGCAAGACCCATGTTCGACGCCCTGCTGCCTCAACTGGAACATAACGGGACCAATGCCAATGCGCCGGACATATTGGTGATGGATATCGCCACTGTGGGGGCCCAAGATCTCGCACATAAACTGAAAATCCCGTACATTCTGAACTCCCCTTCACTGCTATTTGATCTGGGAGGAGCGCCGAGTTATGTGCCTGCATGGGGCACAGGATTCAGCGAGAACATGTCACTCTGGAATCGGTGTATGAATATTCTATTCCCGAGGTTATTGTCAGTGGCATTAACCCCGCCGTTCATGGAGCTCAACAAGATGCGATATGAGCTGGACTTGCCACCGTTCCGATCCCAGCACGATTTGTTCAAAGGAGCTCGTGTTATTCTGAACACAGCATTCGGGCTTGAGCATCCACAACCTCTTTCTCCGCTCGTGGATGCTGTTGGACCGATAATGCCAGTACCAGGTGGAAATGCGAGCAAATTAGAACGCCACCCTCTTCCATCGGCGTTGCTGAGCTGGCTAGATGCGTCAATTGAATCAACACCGTCGTTGCGACTACGTCAGCGGACAGCATCGCATCGAGCCAAATCTACAGAGCAGGACCTTGAAGCAGCTGCTGGAGGTGTGGTGTACCTGAATCTGGGGACGATGGCGTACATTGATGCCTGGCAGGCTCAAGCACTCGTCGAAGGACTGCTCATGGGACCTGAAGACTCGCCTGTGAAGGTTCTATGGGTTCTTCCTACAGATCAACGTGGTAATTTACCACCTGCATTGCCGCCTTCTCTGGTTGTAAAGCCACCTAGCTCGTCGCTGTCGAACTTGGAAATCCTGAGTCATCCCGCTGTCAGACTGGTAGTTTCGCACTGTGGCATGGTATCGGCTCAAGAAGCACTTGTGATGGGCAAGCCGTTGCTGTGTATTCCCTTTTTGGTGGACCAACCGGACGTGGCGGCCCGTGTCGAGGATTCCGGAGCGGGTATTGCGCTGGACAAGAATCTTCTCTCGGGCCCGTACGTACACGCCGCAGTCAGTGAGTTACTCACGAATTCCTCGTATACTAATGCCGCAAGAAGAGTGGGCTCTTTACTGGAAAGAGCTGGTGGCACCACGCGAGCTATTGACGTGATCGATGCTGCGCTACGATTGGGATTTGATCATTTGGCTACACTGAACCTGACAGCTCCATGGCACAAGACCGCTCTACTTGACGTCTGGGCGGTCTACGCTGCTCTCATCTGTCTACTGGCTGTTTTCGTACGCATTCAGTGGCTTCTTCTCTACTTCTTGGTGTCCGAGAGCTTTAGTCTCCTCTCTAATTTGATCCTGGGGCCACCACTTCCTCCCTCGTCAATGGCTGAAGGATATGACGATGCATACGAAGACGGTGAAGACGCTGAAGAAGAGAGTGACACGTCGCAGCCCGCAAGTTAGTGCGGAGTTGCAGACCAAAACAATAAATACATTAACCACCCAACACTTCTACGCTCGACCTGTGAACGACTCATGACGATACGCTGCGAGTTCTTCCTGGAACTTCTGCTCGCGCTCTTGGCGTCGTCGAGCAGCTTCAGCGGCCTCCGTTTGACGCTTTTCGCGCTCCTTCCGTGCCGCTGCAGACAGAATGGGCTGGTCGTCCCAGTGTGCCACAACGAAGTCGTCGTTTTCTTCTTGTCGGGTGGGCGAGTCCTGGTCCGAGCCACAAGTCGCAAGCACCAACTCGCACTCGGCATCTGCAGCGGCCTCTTTCTCAGCGTTGTTGACATCCTGCGCTGGAGCGAATAACGAGGATACGAGGGATGGACGTCTTGTCAAGCCTGGAGACGACTCGGAACGAGGATCGGTCTTTTTCGTGGCTTCATCGTGACCACAAGTTCTTTCTGATCGACGAGTACGGTGCTGCGATTTACGAGACGATTTAGCAGGTACGGACGGTGCTGTGTGACGTCGAGGGGTAGTTACTGCTGGGTCGGGAGAAACAGGGTCGGACTTATGTCCGGCACATTGAGCGAACGAGAATTTCAACAACTCTACGGCACTTGGACGCATGGACGGATCGATCTGAAGACAGGCCAAGATGAATTCTCGAGCGTTGGACGACAGAGTATCAGGCAGTGGTGGGAGTTTTTCAAGGTTGGCGATGTAGTACAGCAACGCGGCCTGGGAATCAAAGCGACGGTCTCCCCAGAGAGGACCTCCAGTCAGCAGACGGAGAACCGTGCAGCCAATACTCCAGATGTCAGCCTTGCGACTACGACCAGATGATTGCTTGATGACTTCTGGCGCCATGTAGTTCGGAGTGCCGTGCAAGGATGGCGTCGAGGCGTTGGACATAGTGGCACTGTTGATTAACCGAGAAGAACCGAAGTCTGCGATCTTGACGACGCCATTCTGGTCGACCAGAATATTCGCAGGCTGAGAGAAAACACAGCATTATTTAGTCCACGTAAAGTGACAAAGGAAGAGTTTGAAGCTTACCTTGATGTCGTGGTGGATAATGTTTTTAGAGTGGAGATAAGCGACACCGGAGAGTAGCTGGTGCGTAAATCGTCGTACTACACGCTCATTGCCACCAAATAGTTTGCGGTTGTGCTCGAGACTTCCTCCAGGTACCCACTCCGTAAAGATGGACAATGTTTGTGCTGCGTTGTCGACGTGACAGCCAAGATATTTCACGATGTTCTCGTGTTTCAAGCCTCGCAGCAACTCCACTTCCCGTGTGGCTTCTTTGATTGCAGAGTCAGTCTCCTCTAAAATCGGGACCTCCTTCACCGCCATCAAACAACCCGTGTCCTCATCACGAGCTAAGTATACCTAGAGTTGGAGAAAACAATTATCATTCACGTAAGAAACACGCTGCCACGTAGACCACAGAGCACTAGCCGTACGCACCGTGCCATAGCTGCCAGCACCGATAGGGGCCCCTTTCTTCCACTCACTGACCTCATCTTCTTCAAAGTCATCAGTAGAGTATCCTTCCTCTTCTTCTTCTCTATCGCTCTCATCCGCATCAGCATTCATGGCATCCTTCTTCACAGTATCTGAAATCCCGTCCAAGGACGTAGTTGTGTCGTCGAACCAAGGTCGTGATATTGGACGATCTGTAGCCGGCCGAGTCCTGTCGATTTCTGCACGCATACCAGGAGATATTTTCTGTAACGAGATATCGAGCAATCGCCCTTTCTCCGAATGCTTCCGGGCCTCAGCGAGTAGAGCATCTAGTCGGCTATCAGAACGCCGTAACATTGCGTGTTTTGATGCACCGCCACCCATTTGTGACTGATGTTGGACAGAGTTATCTTTTGTAGGAGTGAAACGTCTTCAGCAGGCCTACTTTGCGTTTAGTATAGAGTTCATTCCAATCGAGTTCAGAAGACAGAAACCAAAACCGCCATTTCTCAGCCCAGAGTAAATTCACTCGTCCTCCAGATTTTCCGTACACGTGGACTTGATGACACCATTTGGCTCGAGAGCATTGCCATGAAATATAGCTAGGTCTTATGCAGGCCAGCTTTAGCTTCCATATGCAGGCCAGCTTTAGCTTTTCATATGAGCTAATGCTGACGAGCATGACTCGATATGCCAAATCTTATCGATGGAGACGTAAACACGTTGATCTCCGCCCTGAAATTTACTTAGCTGTCTGACATGAAAACACCGCTAGAGTTACTTTTCGCTTCGATGCCGCTGCCAACACCACAGCCATGTAATTTGCTACCGCATCCTCGTTGAAGTGCTTATGTTGTTCATGTGCAACATTACATCTTCAATCTGCATCCTGCTATATCTAACCTCACGTACAAATGCGGCAGTGTCCTGTATAGGGATGAGCTCCACATCTCTCATCATAACTCAAAAAAGGGCAGGCCTTGCCTAAGGCACAGTACGGGCGGCACATGCCTCCTTTGTGGTGAATCGCGATCAAGAGATTTGCCCTGCATAATTTCTGAGCGGCCGCGTTGGAATGGGTCTGTGAGGCTAATTCCACCGGCACCTTTCCATGTGAGATATTCGAGGAAGTCGAAGGAGTATTATCGCTTTTAAAAACATTTTGTCGCCTAGAAGCCATACGCAGTCGGCAGAGCAGTTCGGTGAAGCTTCTTGTTGCCAAGCCATTGCTGCTGTTCCTGAGCCATCATGTTGAAGCGACAATTTCTGGCGGCCACTTTAAGACGAAGCCGAGATACGATCCGACGAGCACGAAATCCTCGAAAAACAGTCTGTATTAACTGCGCGGCATAGTCGCGACGTCGTCGCTCGATCCCGAGGAAGTTGAAGTTTAGTGATTCGGTGAAGGCTGGTCTTGTGGTTTGGTCATAGATCGCTCGATGGATCACGTTTCGGCGGCGGTAGTTAAGCTGCGGCTCTCGAGGTGTTAGCTGCTTCCTCCGTCTTACAGGCGGAGCTGACGCTGCCGAGACCAAAGCAATGGACGGCTGACCGTTCGCTGGAAAATTCTCGTGAGTTTGTTCTTGTATCGTCACTCGTTTTTCTAGTCGTTTGGCAAGTTTTGGCAGCACACCCGAGGAAAGACGAAGTGTATCCAAGAACAATTCGTAGTTGATAAAACCTTGGCGTTCAACGTCAAAGTAGGCGAAGAGGTAGTCCAGATCGTGGTAGGTGACATCGATGCCGACTTTTAGGAGGGCACTTCTCAGCTCGTACTTTAGCAGTAGGCAGTCACCAGTGGAGCTTGATGCCTGTAGCCATTTCTCCAAAGTCGCAATATCCACAAGCGACGAGCTGTCAGCCTTATCATCATTAAGACGAAACCCTTTCACACGCGCACGGATCCTCTCGATAGCTCTGGATGCGTAATACTCGATGTAGTTGTTGGCGACTGATAGTTCTTTGGCTGCAACCTCGTTCGGGTTTGTCCTAATCTGACGGTAGAGAGATTGGAGCACGATGGTTTCACTATCGCCAAGTTCGTTGCAACAATGGGCAGCCACGAAGCGCGCCAAGTCGTAGGCTTTCTTGAATGGCAAGCGCTTGTCCAGCAAGACCAGCGCCTGAGCAAACGCTTTGATGTTCATCGACTCGTTACCGTCACCCATAACGCGGTTTGCACCCAATCGGCGACACATATTATCCAGAGTTGGCCATCGTCTAGCTCCATCTTCGTAGTTTTGGGGGAAAAGCAACTGTGTGCGGAGATACGACCACACCTCGTCCGGAGACGTTTCTTCTCGGAGCTTCATCTTTACCCCTTCAGTATTATCCCACTCGTTCTCGTCCGATAGAGGAGGTGCTAGATAATCCCCCGATGTCATATCGAAGGTTGTCGCTGGTACGTTGTTGCTGTGTTCCATCCTTGACTGATCATCTTGGTTTGAGGTTCGCTCGGGTACGTGCCACGCTTCACGCATTAGCCGCTCGAAGTCGGCATCGTTGTCGATACAAGCGCTTACATTCTAATATATCGTTGACATCAAGTTAGGGTGAGAAATTAACATGATATCGCGACACGTGACTTACATGATAGTACTCGGCAAACGTTTCGAACGTTATGTTGTCGGTAGCAGTAGAGTTCACACAGGCCCACTCGTGAAGGAACTCAGTCAGAGCTTCCAGTCTACTCTGCTTCCCGTCTCGTACTTGTGGTAGAAATCCCACTTCGTAATGCTTGACCAGGTCGTCAATATGCACCGAGCCCGAGCATTCCTGATCCAATTGGTGGAAAACTCTTGCCACTACCTCAAGTCGCTCACCACTCAACGGATGGCCTCGAAGTGCATCGAGAAGTTTGCGAGTATCTACATATCCTCGCTTCTCGTGAGCGAAGGCTGTCGCAAGCTCTTTCAGTTCGGCTGATGAGACTTTGACACCCAATTTTCGCAGTGATAAACTGAGTTCAGTAGACGATACGGCACTCGTCTTGATAGGATTCAAGACAGCGACTAGCGCGTTGAGCCCTTGCACTACTTTGCTTCTGCTGAGTCTCTTACGCAAGCGATCAATCGTATCCATTTGCTGAGTTGTAGGCTGTGACGCAGTCTTGCCACTCTGGTTGGTTCTGCAAGTTCGAGAGCTGGATGCTGTAGTGGGGCGAGAGTTCCGCATGGCATCGACGATTTCTTTTGCAGCAGCTTCGATGTCCGCTGGATCGATTTTCGATGATGTAGACGGGGTCTGTTTGTTGAAAGAAACTCGATTAGCTGCAGATTTCCGACCATAAGCCGTCTGTTTCTTTGGTGCTGGTCTGTTGTTAGGCCCCTTAGCCAGCGATTCAGTACGGCTGCGACGCTGTCCATGAGGTGGCAACTGCTTTGCTATCGATGAGGATGTCGGCTGGCATAGCTTGTAGAGAGATCGGACAACCGGAGAGCCATTTCTTACTGGTGCTTCCTTTACGGTGGAATGAACTTTCCCTTTCAAAGGTTTAGAGCTCAACTTCGTGGTATCTGTAAGAGCTGAGTGGAAGTCGGAGAGATCGTGACCAACTTGATCTTGATCCTCAGTCTGGTTGCTGTCGCTGTGAATATCATCGTTTGAGAGCTCTGGGCTCTTTGCTCTATCTTTCATTAATCTTCTGCGCTTCAACTCTTTACGAAAAGTGTCTGCGAATTCGAAATCCACACTGTTACCATCACAGATCCATTCACCTACAGGAAGGAAACTCAGTCTCATCTCTTGACCGTCTTTCGCCCACGCAACGACCCACGCCAGAACACTCGAGATGACCGTTTTCACTAGTTCTTTGCTGCAGTTTTGAAGATAGTTAGCGGCAAGTTCACTCATTTCGATGCTGGCAACGTCCTCATCTTCCGGTAGAGTTGGCTGTATGAGGTCGCCTCGTTTCCGCGATGCCAAGCACAGTCGAGTCATGTGAAGAAACACAGGGTCTTGCACAAACACTGGCTCGTTGCTCTCGCTAAAGCCAAACGCGCCAAAATCCGTGATACCGACGGCATTGTGATACATAAGCTGCTTCCGGAGATAAAGTCCCAAGGCTTTCCAGATGTCCTCCGGGTTGTTCACTCCGAGACTTGCTCGAATTGTAGCAGTAGCCTTAGCCAGAATATCGGCCGTTGTCTGCTCAGCCTCCGGGTCGGCTTGGTTGTCATTGTCCCACAGGGACGTCTTCTTCAGGTGATGCGAGAACTCGGAAATCCTCATGGTGTACACGTTTCTTCTTGAGCCACGTGAAGTCAAAGAGTGGGGTTTCCTGCCATTGAAAAACGACGGACATGGGAACCGTCGCTATTGTACAAACCCAACACCAAACAACTTCTCACCCAATTACCCAATTTATATGAGCTTTTTTTTTGTTGGAAAGATAACGATTTCTTCTCTTAAGTAGTCATAATCATCCTTGAATATCTGCATGCTACACTTAATCGAAAAGTGCGTGTCTTTCGTTCCGCCCAAAAAATCGAGGCTATGTTCTTGACATATGGCATCAGATGTTTTGGTCCTTACAAACTTTAGTATTACAATCAACAATGCCCTTTTTACTCATTTCTATGCACATTTGATACTAGGAAGTGGGGCTGTTGGCGATGCGTTTAGCACTGCATGCAGCAATCCCTACGCTGCTCCTGTAGCTAAAACCAACTTCTGCAGATGCCTTGCATTCCAAGCTGCATTCTGGCGTAAAGCTTGTCACTTTAGGCTTCTTTGTTTATTAAATATCGCAAGAAATGTTCTGTGCATGCATGATCAGCATCAATTTCCCGCAGACGTTTGAGCATCCACCATTTAATAAAGGCACGTGCTGGAGAGCCCAACTGGATATTATGAGACGGGGCATTTGCCCCAACTCGCCCCAAACCGCGACCAAACAGAGACCAAACGAGCCCAACCTGAGCCCAATCCAGCCCAAGTGGAAGCCTTCTAAATCGAGCCAGCTCCTCGTGTATACGTATAGCCGAATAGAGCGATGTGTTGGAGCTGGATCTCTCAGCGTCCACGTGGTCTCGGCGCCGCGACTGCATTTCAGCGTTCTCATGGAATTCAAGCTTGATAGAAATCAGTCGTATCAACTTTAAGATGACATGTGAAAAGGCCAAAATATATTGAGAGTTAGCGATAGTCATTCGTCTGCGCTGCCTCTACAGACACGTACAAAGATAGCGGTAACGCAGGCACTGCAGCATCTTTTTGTCCACGTGACCTAGTGGTTCTGCGCCACAAAACATTTCAAAAGCAAGCAAGACGTAGATCTCGCAGTTGTAGCTGTCAGTCTGAACCCCGAGTCCTGCGTCGAAGACTCTCACCCGAAACGCTTTCTGTGCACCTGGAGGCAGTAGCACTACCATCGTCTGCGCTACGGCACGTACGTTGACGACGTACGAAGAAGAACTCGAATCGTACACGTAAATGACTCCACCCTCGAGGTCCATCATAATAGCACACCAGTGGTTACCGTTGCAATTCACTGGAATCAACACCTTCTCCGTCGTCAGCCCAGATTACGCCTCTCGAATGATTTCGCTGGAGGTGTTCACGCTTCCGTCCACAACGATACCCAGTGTCGAAGAGTCGAAATATTGGGCTTACAACCAAACCGTTTGGCCAGTATTTTGTACATTACCTCGTCCGTTATCAGCTCTTTACCTGCCAATGCTAGCACATCCATCTACACAGACGTAGTTAGTTTACCATCATACTCTCGATTACACACTGGTTCATACCTGTGGGGTCAAAACTCAATCTGTCTCAGCTTTGACGGCAGGGCGGGGTCTTCCTCGATTGAATAGCTGACATTACCGCAATTAGACATATCCAGTTTCTCTATCCATGCCAGCGCGCGGGCGATCCTTCTGAATGCTGCTGCTGCAACGTGCCACTTTTTCATGAGCTTGATCGTTGAGTTGACGAATACTCCAACTCCTACTATTTCTAGAGCAATGTCCAGCTCGCGAATGCACGATTCTTTCGCTGAAACGCTGACACTTTAGCCCCGCACTTCCTTATAGATCCATCGGAAAGATTCTAACTATTTCATCAGGCCGCATCAACGGCTTGTAGCTGGAAGCTTCCTCAAGTCGTGCGCGATTGGCGGCTTCGGTTTCGTCGCGAAGACGAAGAGCTTAAACATGAGTATGTTCTCTTGGGCCGAGTCAAAAGTTACATTGTCAGAGAGAAGCTCGAATGCCGAAATCAGGTTGAGTTGCTTATCGTGCATCTCGAAATCCTCTTGAATTATCGCAATATGTAGTTTCCGTTTAGCTTTTACAGCCTTAGGTTTCTGTTTTGGGCGGCCTTTTGCCTTTGGTGGACTTTGAAGCTCGAATTCGGCTTCGCCTTCATCGAGGTTGACGCTGTTAACCACCTCGACCACCTCTGCACCTGATGGAGCCGACTGAGTCGACTCAGTGCCCAACTGGACCGACTGATCCAACTCCGTGCCCGACTGAACCAACTGAGTCAACTCCGTGCCCGACTGAACCAACTGAGTCAACTCCGTGCCCGACTGAACCAACTGAGTCAGCTCCGTGCCCGATTGAACCCACTCTGTGTCCGGCTGGACCACCTCTCTACTCGAGCGAGACGCAGGATCCACATGAGTGTTAGAGTTCGTTCCAGCTGAACAACTATCTTTTGAAAACTCCTCGCGATTTCCAATAGGTGCAGATTTATCATGAACAGGATCAGCGGCAGGAATAGCATCAAATTCACCATGCTTGAGCAGCGTGGCCACGCTGCGTAGAGCTTTCATTGCCAACTTATACTCAATCATTCCCATACCGCTCATATGTTCACTAATTGTGGTCGCGACGAGATGGGCTTCTCGAAATTTGCGGTTGCTGTCCCAAACAGTACTCGCTTCCGGCAACACTCGGCCAATGGAGAACGGCTCGCTTGTAACCACTTCAAATGCACTATCCGAACGCAACGATGCCAACAACCACCTTGGATTCAACAGCTGCGTGGGAAGGATATTTTTGCAGTTAAGAGCCTTGCGAACAAAAAACACGTGACGACAGGGTAGCAACCGCGAAGTCATGAACAGGCATGAATATGACCAATTTCGCTTCGTGACAGAATACTCCGATCTGGGCTCGTCGAGAGCTTCTTCCTCTTCTGAGAGGTTCTGGATCATAATAACATCAGGTACCGGCTCATAGAAACTGTAGTTGGCACGCGTAATAGCGTACACGTACTGGTCGTAAACGAGTTCACACGCGTGCTCGCTCACCAAGTTGGATAGAAATTGCATCTCTCTATCGTACTTCGGATTATGCACCAGCTTCAGACTGTACAATGCGTCCATAAATTCCCTCTGTGATTGCGCTTGGTAACACATTATGGCCGCTATGCACTCGTCAACCCCCATGTATCCATTCACGAGCTCTTTCACCTGCTTCCATGAGGCTTCAACGGTTATTTGTGTAATTACCCATCGTCACGGCATTTTGACGTTCAAATGAGCACCACAGGAGTCCCAATTCTTTAAGAAATAGGCCTCGAAAGGGTGTACAACATCCTGGGCATCTTCTGCCGTACCGGTGCCTCGATCACCCAACTCAGTCGATCCAGCACCCAACTCAGTAGATCCAGCACCCAACTCAGTACGAGTTACACTTCCACGTCCAATTGTCATTATATGGCGCAAGTACTTTCGAAACCGTTCATATTCGCGCTCCGTCTTTGCGTAAACCAACAGATTCACGAGCCCTTGCAGCTGCTGCTTCTGCCAAGAAGTAAACCTGTATTCTGCTGAGGCAATTTCCTCGCGCAGATACTTCAAAACGTGAAACTGACACAGCAACACAATCGCTTCCGGGAAGACCACTTTGAACACAGACATCTCCGTGAAATCTTTATCGATCAGTATGCATTTGATACGATCCCACACTGGATTGTTGCGCTTGAACTCCTTTAGGGCCGTCAATAAAGTATTACGGCGTTCATTTTGAACCACAGCATGCTGTACAAATTGACCCTTGCCAAAAGCATCGTGGGCCATGATCGAAAAAACTTTATACTTGGATGCATTCGTGCCGTGAGTGGCATCAATCATCAGGACCTCCGGAAACTTGTCGAAAAGAGCACGCATATGCTTGGTTTGCAGTGTAATGCATGTGGCGATTCTCTAAATGTGGATAAAAGTCAGTACCGTCCCCAAATATCATGACAAGAATGCGGCAATATCATACCTTGTCTTGCACTTTATCAACAAAGATACGACCAACGTTTCCAGGCTCCTCGGTAAACTCGATCATCCATCGCTTCAGCCGCTTCGCGCTTGTGGGAGCGATGTGCACTTCTTTCTTAAGTTTGGCAACGAGATTATGTACATCTTTTTTGGTCGGCTCGCACGCGGAGCGGTTGTGGATGTAGGCCAATATGCTCTTCTTTTTGGCCCCCGCCTTTCGGAGTTCGTCCACCGTAGAAAGCACCTCAGGTTCGTACGCAGTTCTAGTTTGTGGATACTGGCTGTGAGTGTGCTTCGTTAACGGGTGGTTGTGCTCTAGCCGCACAGACGTTAGTTTCAAAGAAAATTTCTGCCCAGAAGGATCAACCATTTGCACACAGGCATTGATCTGCAACCACAGGAAACTCTGTTAGCCCAACTCAACCCAACCAACCCAAATCGTACCCAACTGTGACCAACTACACCAACTCGAACCCACCTGTGCGCCACACTGCATAGCTCTCGAATGCTGGCGCTTCCTCTTGCCTTTGCCTTTTGGTTTGTATTTCCCCCCGTGCGTACAAATGTACGTCCTTGCGTAGTAAATCCATTCGTCGGGAACCAGTGGTGCTTTGGAGCCAGACTCCTGAATTTTTTTGTTCCTCTCAGTAACCTTGTTATTTGTCCGGACGCGAAAGCTCTACATATGACCAACATCAATGCATATATCCAAGTTGGTAACCATGCCGTCTCCACAGCTATTTATAACAAGTAATAGCATCTTACTTGATATGTTTTGGCCCCGTATGATTTAAAAAACTCCTCCAAGTCGCCCCATGACTCAAACGCATATCTGCGCGGAGGGGCCGCTTGAATCCCATCCGATTCCTCACTTGAGTCAATTGCTGCGGTCTGAGGTGACGCCGACGTTCCATTACGAACCTTGTTTTCGACCCGGCTCCCGCAGCTTACAGCACTGGAGGCATCTGATGATGTTCCCCACCCCATTCCTCGTCGCTGTTGTTAAGTGAACCAC